GAGAATGTTTGAACATATGGCCTTATGCTGCATTCCAGAAAGCCAGGAACTTATTCTACTTGGATTTTCCTCGCGTTTCAGGCATACAAGTTGGAACATAAGTGGAAAATCTAACCAATTGCCGTTTAGTAACATTTGGATTGTTTAACATCAACCCTTTTTTTTTCTGTGCAAAATTTAAAAAAAAAAAAAAAAAAAGATCCACAGGATAACGTCTCCTTGATCTATTCTTTGTCTTTCAATTTAAACAGTATTTAAAAGGTTGTTTAAAACACCCACCAGCAAGCTAACAGGGTTAAACCTGAGCAGTGGGGTTTCGATGTACAGATTTAGGTCGCTACAGGGCAATATAATTAAACTCCAGCGTATCATGTAAAGAAGAGAGGAGGTTCAAGTGATTTCCTATTACGCCAGGTTTACATGTTTCAAGCCTGCAGGGGGCACTCTTTTGGTTCTGGGCTCTTTATTTAATCAGGTCAAGGTTTAACAGCATTATATTCCAAAAATGTGTAGCACATGATCAGTTTTTTTGACAACACTGCTTTTCTGCCTTATAGGCTTAAAAAAAAAAGAATAAAGAAAGTCCTTAATAGCACAGTCCTATTCTGAGGTGACAATGCCTGGATGCACAAGGCTTTTTTTCGCTGCCCCCTGCTGCTCCTAATGGTCTTCTTTGTTTTTCAAGATGCAGCACAGAATACCTTGACACTGTTTACCTGACCCAAATCCATACTGCTTACCACTTAAGTCTAGTAAATGGGACAGTTAAAATTAATCACCCGTACAGCTTTGTACTCAATATTGTTTCGTCGCTGAAAGATTGCTTAAATGTAAATTAGATAAATTAAAGTAAGAGTAGGAGCGACCTTTGTAGCCTTCTCTTCACTTTCTTTGATTAAAGTTTAACATGCAGTGGGGTAAACAGTCCCATTCTCACCTTTCTTTTCAAACTTTGCCCCAGTTTAGATAGTAGTAAACAAACTCAAATTATGTGGTGTGCTGTCAACACTAGGTGCTATAGTGACAGTTCCCCTGGCAATTCAGTGTGTGTGTGCAATGGGAGGAGAAGGAAATAAAGTCAAGGCCATGCACTGGACAACATGGGAGATGGAGAAAGTTCTTGTCCTGTAATGTTGGTGCAGGTTAGTTTTTACTGTGTGTGTGTGTTCTGCCTTGTTTTGCATGCCTGGAAATTAGTTTACAAAGAAGTAAACTTGTCATATAGGCCTTCAACATAGTCTTATTCTTGTAAAAAGACCCTAAAATAACTAGGTACCACATGTATGTGATTTTTTTATAGTTATTACATTACAGTACAATACAATACATTTAGCAGACACTTTTATCCAAAGTTAATCAAGTTTTAGTAGTTTTTGTAGTTTTGTATTGTAATTAGAATGTCTTGTGTTGTTAATACTAGTTTCAACTTGCTTGAAACTAGTATTATGACACAATGTTGATACAATGTACTGAAACTAAACTAAACAACAGAACTTACCAGATGTTTAGTCCTAAATACCGCTGTTGTTTCTCTTGGCCTGGCTCCATCTCACCCTATCTCTTGCCTTTGTTTCTTTTACACCAACCATCTGCATGTCCTAACAACATCAATTGATCTTCCCTGGGGTCATCCTCCTGTCTGGCAGCTTTTTCACTGAAGTCCTTTGTCCAGTGTATTTACTGTCCCTTCTCATATCCTCAACTTCATCAGCTCCAGCTCAGCCTTCTTTAGAGCGATAACACAACTACATAAATTCAAAAGTGTGATTTGGAAATTATTTTTTTGGTGGTAGTGACTAGTATTATAAAGGACTTGTTCCTTTGTAATTGATCTATTAATGACAAAGCCCCCCACCAGTAGGAGCTCATTAATCTATGCCGTGTGTGTGCTCTTGGTTGGATAGGATGTGTCCCGGGCTTGGGAGGAAGGGTGCCTTGGTCAAGTCCAGTCTTTATTAAGATTAATGAACAGCTTGACATTTTTAGTCCTGTCTGAATCGATAATTTTAATACTCATGAGGGCCAATGGGGATCTAAGCTGGCGGTACACCCACAGTGGCCACAGGGCACATGTTTAATGTCCAAGTGGTAATCAATGCAAAGAAATTAGCTATTGATCTCTTATAGTTTTGTAATAGGTTATCTATTGGTTTGCTCTTTCAGAAAATTCCGATATCAGTCGGATGGAATTGTGCAGTAATATGGCTGTGGGCTGTGTATTTGTGTGTACGTGTGCACAAACACTGAAGCCCCGCGTTTACCTTCGCATGCCTATGCAGGGTCACATTCTAATTAGCACAGAGGTCAGAATGTAAATAAACATGTAGAGGAGAATATCGGTGATCTGCACCAGCTCCACAGTTCTTTACAAACAGAGCCAAGAACTTCAGACTGGTTTTAATGCTGCTCAATGTTGCATAGAAAACACACACACTTTATTACACTTTAAAATAAAAAACATATTTATACACTAGTAGTCAACTTAATGTCTTGAAATTTAGTAGATAATAATGAAAAAAATTTGATACGTTTGAGTTAAATCGCAATTTTATTTGATGAAATGTATCCAAATGTTAAGATTTTTCTTTTTAAATTAAAAGGCTGTAATCAGAAAATAATAAAAAAATGAACAAATCAAAATATTAATTATTTAAAAAATGTGCATGTATGAGAATAAGAAATGACTATTGTGAGAAATATAAAAGTGTTATGCGTTATGTTTGGTATTTCTGATCATTATTTTTTATCACCTCTGCCAAGAAAGTTATGTTTTCAACTGGATTATTGTGTTTGTAATTTTTGAGAAAAAGTTTATACCTCAAGCAAGAATATTTGTTATATTCTGTTAACCTCCCAGAAAGAGGGAGTGTATTGATACTATGGGAAAGTGTGAGTATTAACAATTATGGGTCAGTGTAGCAGGTGGTTGACCCAACGCATAAACAAAATTTGCTTTTGCAGACAAACCAATGCTATTTTTAGTTTGCTTATTTTTCTGCCTGTTTTGCAGGATTTACAGCAGCTGGATGTAAACCTGCTTTGTTGGGGCAGCGGGGAGCTCGGCCAGACTGTAAGTGTGAGGTCAGAGGTTATGAGTCCAGACGAGGCCCATCTGAGAGAGTTCACAAAGGCAAGGCTTGGTGCAGTAAAGCTGCTGTCGTGTGGATCCAGTCATTGTGTTGTGGTTACAGGTAATTAATAATCTTTGGTATTACTGTTATGTTGTGATTGCTGCTGTTTTAAAATATATTAACCAAAAACTATGTTACAGAAACAAAAATTTCAATAATAGTAGTAATTTAAGAGAAGTAGTTTCTTTGATAAAAAATAGTTGCTTTCTAAATGCTCTCTATAGAACGGAAACAAGGAAGTTCCTTTAATGAAGGTTGAGTATAAAAGGACCCTCTGATTCTTACTTTAAAACACTTTAAAACACTTGGTCTTTAAAACCAATATCATTGGTTAGGCTGCATTCATTTGATCCAGCAAGAAATCAATGTTGAGCTTGAATTTTCTCCCTTAGTTCCCAAATGATAGCTGTAGTGCCTTTCTGTGCAGTGTTGCTAAATTTGGTCTTGTTTAACATTACTGGTGACAAGTGAAATATTATGTCCATGGAGCACTGAGACATATGTTCAGATTTTGCAATTATATTTTAAAATCGTATAGTAGAGCATTCACAACTCAACCCTTTTTTTATTTTGAAAGCAATTGTGATGTCAAACACATACTGTCTTCCACACTGACAATGAGGAAGCATTGGCTCACCTACAGTATGTGCAAATTTGATAGAAAACCTAGAAAGCGAAGAGTATCCTTCAGTACGTGCGGCTGGCAGCAGTCGTAAAACATTAGCACAGATCAGTCTTATAGATCATCTCAACACTGGGATCCTATACCTCAGCCGACATTACACGGGAAAAAGGTGACATTTGTGATTGATTAAAATTGTGCCAGCTAGCATAGGCTAAATCATGTTAAGTGATGTGACACTGCAGTTTCACATATCATATTTCTGTCGAGACAATGATGGTGAAAGGCATTGTCGCCGCATGATGTCTGACAACAGCAGACATGCGGAGGAAGCAGTGGAGATTTATGGGAGGTTTTAGTGGTCTGAGGGAGATGAGAGGGAGTAAAAA